AATTTTACATAAAAGGTTTGCTGGTATCTGACTGTTTTTGGGACAGGAATTGGAATAGGAGGGTTTTGAATGTAGATAAGGATGAAGAATGTCGAATTTTGATAGGAAGGGAATTCCAGAAACTAACAGAACGAGCAATAAAGGAGTTTTGGAACGAGGCAGATCTGTGAGAAGGAATGTAAAGGTCGGAAGGTCGAGATCTTGTGGAGAGGGAGTGGACTGAGGACTTGAATTGGAGAAGGTTGTAGGCGTAGGAAGGACGATGATTGTTGATGATATGATAGAGGAATGTACCTAGGAAATATTGTCTTCGAATGGAGGGGAAGAGCCACTCTAACTCAGTGTAGTGGTGGGAGACATGGTAGTATCTCGGGGCACCAATTAATTACAAATCTCACGCAACTGTTCATTAATCTTTTCAGTATGTCGCGGAGCTCCACCGAGAGTCCATCATACACCACACAGCAGTAGTTAAAGTGGAGGAAGATGAGAGAGGAAACTAGGAGTCTACGCGTATGTTGGGATAGGAGATGGCGGAAGCGATGGAATAGTTTGAGGGTAGAAACTGTCCGTCGGGAGATGTGAGAAATATGGTGACTCCAGGAGAGGGTTTGATCAATAAATGGTCCTAAATTTTTTACAGAGGAGTAGAAGGAGATTGGCTGGTCACCAAGGTTTAGTATGGGAAAGTCGGTATAGGATCTAAGGAGGGGCTTGGAACCAATGACAATGGCCTGAGTTTTTGAAGCATTTAACCTTAATCCGTTTAAGTTTGCCCAGGCACAGATTCGATCTAGGTATGCTTGGATCTTAGTAAATGCTACCAATAGCTCTGGGGGAGAAAAGGATAGGTATATTTGAGAATCGTCTACATAAAGGTGGTGGGAACAATGGAGAATTGAGTCATGGAGGTCATTAATATAGTAACTAAAAAGGAGAGGAGGTATGCTAGATCCTTGGGAAACTCCAGAGGATAAATGCAGGAAGGCAGATAGTGGTTGATTAGGAATGGAGATTGCTTGGGTGCGTTGTGAGAGAAAAGATTGGAACCAAGAGATGGAGCTATTGGAGAAGGAGAGTGATTTTAGTTTGTTGAAAAGGATGGGATGGTTGATGGAATCGAAGGCTTTAGAGAAGTCAAGAAGTATAAGGACAGTTAATTGTTTATTATCTATTGCAGTCTGAACATCATTGGTAATTTTGATTAACGCGGGTTGTGTGGAGTAGCCGGGACGGAAACCAGATTGGAGAGGATCAAGTTGGTTGGACTTTTCGAGGAAATTGGAAACTTGGAATTGCACCAATCTTTCTTGGGGTTTTGAGAGTTTGGAAAGAATTGAGATTGGGCTAAAGTCTTCGGGAGAGGATGGATTAGGCTTTTTATTTAAAGGGAGTACAATGGCTTTTTTCCAAGAGGAATATTGAGTTCTGTAGGGAGAAATTGTAAATGAAAAGGAGAACTGGGAGGATTTCGGGGAGACATAATTTTATCAATTTGACAGGAATACCATCTGGTTCTATGGAATTGGTGTGGGATTTCATTACTGAGGTTAGTAAGTCAGTCGGGGAAATGTTGGAGAAATAAAAGTCATCATCATTAAATGATGACTCAGGAGCAAAGTTGGAAGAGGAGGGAAGAGAAGAGGCAGAGGAGGCAGAAATAAAATGTGAATTTAAATCATCAGGTGAAACGGAAAAGACCAGTGAGGAAGGGGATCTGGAAGGTTCACAGAGGGAAAGGTTGCGAAGGATTAGCCATTTAGATTTGGGATCTCGGACAGTTGAAACTGCTTCTTGGAAATAGGAAGTTTTAGCTCGCCGAATTCTTGTTTGTGTCAGATTGCGGAGCACCCTAAACGCTTGATAGTCATCTGTAAGCCTGGTACGTCTAAAGCGTCTACGGGCAGCATCACGCCTCTTCTGCAGATCCTTGATTTCTTGACACATCCAAGGTGCAGGCCGGCGGCGAAAGGTTGAGGTTTTTATGGGAGCATGAGTGTTAAGGATATTGAGGAAATTGAAAGTCAGGATCTCAACCATGGAGTCGATGGAGGAGCAGGAATATATTTCGTTCAAATCTAAGGTTTCAAGGTCAGGTAGCATTTTTTCACGGGTGAGAGTGTCTATCTGACGGAAAGTGAAGGTTCTCGGATGAATCAGAGGGGTTTGGATATTATATGTTATTAGGATCATGTCGTGAGACGATAAAAAGGATACTGGCAGTTGGGAAAAGGAGAGGAGATTTAGTTCGGAGTCTATAATGAAGAAATCTAACCAAGTGTCGGCCTTGTGGGTGTGGTGAGTAGGATGAAAAGGAACAATAAAGAGATGGAGGGAAAAAATAGGTTTTCTAGATAGGTTTTGTCTTTGGAATTAGAAAGGAGATTGGTATTGAGGTCATCGGCGATGATTATTCTAGGATAGAGGGGAACAAAGTTGAGTAGGGTTGATTCTAAGGACGGATCAAATAAAACAAGGGGAGGATGGTAGATCACTATGTAAAGGAGAGGGGAATTATTACAGGTAATTTCTACTAGAAGGTCTTCCACTTGTGGATGTTCGGAGGGTGGGGAGTAATCAAGGATTCGGGACTTCAGGCTATCATGGACAAATATGGCCACCCGGCCGTGGCGGATGAGGGTGTGATTAAGTAAGGAGACAGATGAGGACGGAATATAGGGTTTGAGCCAGGTTTCTGAGATTGCGATGATGTGAAAAAAGTTTTGAGAAAAGTACTGCAGGAATTCATCATAATGGGCGGGAAGGGATTGCGAGTTAACGTGACAGGTGGTTTGGATGCTAGACATGGGGAGAATTTGATGGGAAATAGTCAGAAATTAGCATAGAGGAAATGAAGCATATATCATAATCTGCAAAAAAATTATGAAAAGTACTGATAAGCAAAATAAAAGTGAATAATGGAAAAATAAGTGAGCAATAAGAGTAAGAAAATAAACAAATTAGTAAACTGGAGCTATGAGACATTTTAACCAAAATCTTCAAAGTTATTTGGGCACCAATGAAGACAAAAAATACTTTGATGAACGAGAAGAAGTGATGAAACCTGTACAGTCAGGCGAAAACTTCTAGATCCGATGCCTGATTAATTAAGATTACTTGATGGCCGTCTTCTTTTCGGCAACGCACAATGCCGGCAGCGAACCATACGTATCTTATCTTCCCAGCAGCTCTCTTCTGCCGGACTAGCCAGTAGAGGTGCCTGTTTGTTGGGGTCATCTCCTCGCCGAGATAAATTCGGTGGCAGTCGTTTTCCTGCCACCCGATATCACGCGTCGAGAAGTCCCTCTTCACTTTCCTTCTGGCTATCAGGTCGTCCCTCACTGACTGCCTGACGAAATGTGCTATTACCGACGGCGGTCGCGGGTCATCCTTCTTGCTAATACTACTGGTGATATCGATATAGACGGTAATATGTTTGAACAGGTAGATAAATTTAGGTATCTAGGTTCTACGATAACTACAAAAAACGAAATTGAAGAAGAGATTAAGGTTAGACTGAAGTCGGGAAATGCTTGTTATTTTTCTGTGACAAAACTGCTCAGTTCGCGCCTCTTGTCCTGGAACTTAAAAATTAGAATCTATAAAACAATTATCTTGCCTACAGTTCTTTATGGATGCGAAACTTGGCCGCTTATATTAAGGGACGAGCAGCGTCTTAAGGTTTTTGAAAATGAAGTATTGCGTAGAATATTCGGACCGAAGAAGGATGAGTTAATCGGAGAGTTCAGACGGTTACACAACGCCGAATTGCGTGAACTGTATCCGGGTAATATAATTGAGGTAATTTCATCGAGGCGAATCAAATGGGCTTGTAAATTTGTTGGGCTTAGTAACGAGAAAATTCCTAAAAGGTTAATATTTGCTGTGCCGAATGGTAAGCGTCCGAGGGGTAGACCGAAGCGAAAGTGGGAAGATTGCATTAAAGCCGATCTGAAGGGACTGAGTTTGGACGGCGAACGGTGAAGGGAGGTGTGTAATAAGCGACAGGTGGTGTCGGCATCGAACCTTCGGGTTCGCTAAGCCCTTTATTATTTATTATAAGTGAAAGTAAAAAATTTCATTGGAATCCAACCAGTATTAGCGATGATACAGCTAATTCTATTTTCTACACATATTTTAATCTATTACTTTCCTCTCTATACTAGGTAAGGAAAGTATTGCAATTCTGAACATTTTCGAATCTGAGTTTTCAACGGAAATACACGTTTCACACTCCCAAGAGACCCAAAAACATATTTTCAGCCATTGATCTGTCTGTCAATATATTTATAAAAACATATTTTTCTATAAACTGAAGCGCGAAAATGGCTCTAGTGAAAGAGAGAGCGAAAACGAAAGTAAAAAAAAAAGGGTGCCTACATCACACAAGTTTCACTTCCCCCTTTACTTTTAACAGAAATTATTGTCTGACAAAATTGGGCTAAGAAAAACATGTTTTTGTTTGGCAATATTAGAATGTATTGAATTTTTTATGCTAATCTTTCCAAGCTGGTTTACATTGAAATCAAATTCATTTTTTTTTTTAATAGACATTTTAAGGTATAAAAACTTTTCTGAAATCGGTAGAAAAGCAGAGATGGGCATATTTATATTCAAAAATATAAATACGAATACATATATTCGTATTCATAAAAAGTAATATGAATACAGAAGATATGTATTCACGACTGTAAATATAAATACGCCCGTATTTACGACTGTAAAAGTGAATACGGCAGTGAATGAATACAGTTAAATTTACAGAAGTGAATGGAAATATTTTCACAAAATCTTATTAATGAATACTCTTATTTATTTAAAAAAAATGTATTTATTAAATTATTTATTAAAAAAAAAAGATTTGCTATATATATATCATTTTATATTTATAAATAGTACTATTATTCTTCCTTCTACAATATGTTTTGTTAATTATGTTGCAATGTATTATATTATGTTAATTATCGCATATTCACGATTGTTAAAGTGAATAGGGCTGTATTTACACCGGTAAAAAAAGTGAATACGGCAGTATTCACATTTACTAAAATGAATAGCCTTAAATTTACAGAGGTGAATGGAAATATTTCCACACAACTTTATTAATGAATACTCTTATTTATTTAAAAACATGTATTTATTTTAAATTTTTTTTTTTAAATATATTTACTATATATATCATTTTATTTGTATATATAGTATTATATTCTTCCTTTTACAATATGTTTTGTTAATTATGTTGCAATGTATTATGTTATGTTAATTATCACATATTCACGACTGTGATTATAAATATGGCCGTATTCACGATTGTAAAAGTGAATACGGCTGTATTTACACCTGTAAAAGTGAATACGGCAGTATTCACGTTTACTAAAATGAATTGCCTTGAATTTACAGAGGTGAATGGAAATATTTCCACACAACTTTATTAATGAATACTCTTATTTATTTTAAAAAAATGTATTTATTTTAAATTCTTTATTTTAAAAATATATTTACTATATATCATTTTATTTGTATATATAGTATTATATTCTACCTTATATAATATGTTATGTTAATTCTCATTCTTAATGTTTGAACGTAATATAAATTGCCGAGCCTTTGTATTTATAGCAAAAGTGAATACGGTAATATTCACGTTTATAAAAATGAATACGCTTAAATTTATAGAAGTGAATGCAGATATTTTTACAAAATCTCATTTATCAAAAAAAATATATTTATTAAATTGTTTATATAAAAAAATATATATTTACTATATATTCCATTTTATTTTTATTTATAGTATTATATTCTTCGTTTTACAATATATTATGTTAGTTATCACTTGGAATGTTTGTACGTAATATAAATTCACAAGCGTTTTTTTTTTATTGGGTCCAGAGGGCGGGGTGTCTCCCGTACCAGAATGGAAAGCCTACGTTGATGATCCTAGACGTACAGACTTTTCGGTGCACTGTTTACTTATGGGCTCCTAATGGTAATAAAGATAAGTTTAATAGACGGCCAGGGTAAGTACAACACACGAAACGATACCCTGGAAATCCCATCGGGAAATACGTGTACACGACAGAGTTGAAGCAAGGAAAGGGGCAAGAGCTGTCAAATTTGAATAGTGACCTTTCCGGACCTGCCGTTCAGTGTGTAATGTGTGAATATATTTGTTAATGTGTTAAGTTTTGCATATAAAACAATGTATGAAGTTGATAGCGAAACTGAGTCTGTTTGTTTAGAAGGCTCTTGTAATCTGGATGATAGGGATTTATTTTTTCAATTTTTTGTCACGAGAGTACCTGCTCTATAAGAAATTCCAATATTCTCATCTACTCAGAATTTTTATTGGGGGGAAGGAGAGAGGCGATGCCCGAAGAATATAATACTATATATAAAAATAAAATGGTTTATATAAAAAAATTTTTTAAATACGGGCGTATTTATATTTACAGTCGTGAATACATATCTTCTGTATTCATATTACTTTTTATGAATACGAATATATTCGTATTTATATTTATTTGTACCATAAATATAAATGGTATTCGTATTTATATTTTTGAATATAAATATGCCCATCTCTGAGTGGACACACCAGATTTTTATTGCTTTTGTTTTGAGGTATTTTTAGAGGTTATTTTCTTTATGTTCAATATCAATCTTTATCTTAGAACTCAATTCGAGAGCATGTCCAGTTAGGGTAGATATTATACATCATCACGTACAGTTATTTTTGAGATAATTTTCAGTTATTTTGCTTTTCAGAAATGAGCAAATATGCAAGATAGCAAAGTGTTAGGGGATTGCATATGTGGTGTTCATTAAAATTTAAATAAAAAGTTTAAATGCATTTTAGAAAGCTAAGAACTTAAAAGGTGATTCAAAATAGTATTTTAAACAAATTTTTGTAAAAAAAAAAATCCTTTTTTCTGAACGTATTTTTGGGTTTCCGGACCTGCCATATGGTAGAAACAGTGGAATAAGCTCCTGCAGTCATAGGATTCAAATAACAGTAAATTGTAACTGACAATTAAAAAAATAGGAATATAAAGATGAACCAATATTTCCAATACAGAAAATTTCAGAACATAAAAATATAAAAAAGTGGGCCATTTAATTATTTATAAAACATGAATATTATTTCAAAATTATAGAAACAGTACATTCAATTCTGCAAGTTTAATTGCGTAAATAAATTAGGTTAACCTTAATTAAATTGTTGTGGTAATTATTTTAACTTTAATTAAAACAATCAGTTGCTGTATAAGTCTTCAAATAACTGAAGTGGATCATCGTTATTCATTGACGTATAGCACAAATGATGTCTTTCTCTAAATCTAATTAAATGATAAAAAATCCATAAAAATACTGTCACAGCAATTCCAACCACTAAACCACTCATGAATGAAAGAACTAAAAATAAACTCAAATACTGATTTTCATTGCTCCTTGTGATTTCTGACTCAGAATTAACTGTTTTTCTTTGATACTTCGAATCACATGTAGAACAAGTGCATTCACTGTCAAAATTTACTGATATGTCTTCTTTCTCAGGGACAGTATTTTCACTTTCATACATTATAATTTTTTCCAATGTTTTCACTTTAGTTGGTGAAGTAGTAACCATTTCGCAAACTGATCCAAAAACTTTTATTGTTTTGGCAGAGGTCCAAGTAAGAAATTCCTTACTTTTATAATCACAACTTAGCTTGTTACTAAAAGAGGAAAAAAAAATTAAGTATCACATAAATTAATAATTATTAAGTCATTTAAAGATAACCATTTAGACTCACTTAGATAAATCGATTTCTTCAAGATATATCAAATCTTTATATGAAAAATAGTCAATATTTTCCATAAGATTGGAAGATATATTTAATTTAATCAAAGAATGTAAAGCAGAAAGTGCCAATACTGGAATATGACTTATTCTGCAATAACTAAGGTCCAATATCTGAAAATAAAAATAAAATAAATTCCAAATTTATATCTATAGGTTTCTATATATTTTGCCACATCTATCCTCATCTGCCTTATGGATTTTATAGATTAATTAAAAACTTATATATCTATTATTAACCGGCTTATTTATTGATTATGATATTCCCTGAAGGGAAGCTAAACTAACATTCAAAGTAAGTTATATTAGTTGGACAGATGAAGAAGCTACAAAAAAACATTTTATATTAAATAATTACTAATTAAATATTAATTAGGATTGTAGGCTAAAGGAGAGCTGAAACACTGCACTACAAGTAAATAAATTACAAAAGGAAATAGCTGCTCTGTAGTTACCCCAGAAAGGAAAATCCGGACGGGCGAGAAGGAAAAAGGAGAGGGGACGGACAAAGGATTTTGTTTTGGCAAGAGTTGGTGATTGACTAGGGTGAAGAGAAAATGACAGGGATCCAGGGGGTTTTACCTGGCTTCAGTGGGTAAAACCCAGTAATAGTATTAGCATCTTGGAAGTTGTTGTTTGGCTGCACTGAACAGAGGGTAGGAGAAGGGATCTCTCTTCTCAAACCTTTCCAAACCTTTAGAGCGACTAGTTCAAACCCAGTTATCTGACTTCTTAGAAACAGAATAACGTCCTAAATTCTAACCAGTCCGGTTTCTGGCCTGGATACTTCACTCAGTCTGCCCTCATCAAAATTTCCCATTGATTCCCTCCATACAGCCATGGACCAGCAGAAACTCACCATCCTTATTCTCCTTGACTTCTCCAAAGCCTTGCCTCAGTATACCACAAAATTCTCTTAACCAAGATACACATATAACCCAGTATTACACCAAGTTGAAGTGGCTCTATCCATCCAATCGCCGCCTGTACTTCTTTCCTACCTTTCTATACCAAGCCATCAGAACTCAGTGACCTTCCTATATTTTTCACAGCCTACAATTTAAATATTCCATTCAATCCCATCCCACTAGATCTCGTACTTCTGACCTCTATCCATCTCCTCACCAAACTGCTGCATTTGACAAATTCTTTATAATTCAAGCCGTCTCCTTCTGGTATACCATCACTCCCAGTATCCGACATGCACAATCAGTTTCCTCATTTAAATCTCTCCTTATATACATATATATATATATATATATATATATATATATATATATATATATATATATATATATATATATGTATGTATGTATAAAATCAAACCTTTAGGAATAATAAGGAAGTAATTAAATTAAATATATTATTTTAACTTGAATTTAGAGTGAGAAGAACTAAGATACTGAACATTGAAGGAAGTTAGTCGACTGTTCTACATATTACGGGTGATAAATATTCAGGGCGCAGTGTGCAAGATACTGAACAATTAATTTAAAAAATAGATTTAGACTAATTCTATGAATATTCTTCAATCAATTTCATGAATGTATATCACTATTATTTTAATTCTTTATTATATATTTGTATGTATTATAATTGTAAATGGTAATTATATTAATGCATTTATCTCTTATTTCATCTTGATCACTTGTCACTGTTTAATATTATAAATGGATAATAGATGAGACTCAATCAGCACAGAATCAAAACACACATAGATTCCCAAAATATAATTTATCAAATTATTCGTCTTATGTACTAGATATGGGATAATTTCTATTAAATGAAAATTTTACATCCAAAAGTTTGACTGTACCACATGATCTCCCATTACTCCAATGCTTGCCTATATTTATTTGGAAAAATTATTGGATTAAGTTATTCTCAATGTCCAGTTAATATCCTGTTTCTAGTTAAATTTGTAGACGGCATAATTACCAAGATATCAACAGACTACAATGAAAAATAAATTATCAAAACATAGTTCCATAATTATTCTCTCTTCCTCTCAGATTAAATTTAACCATTGAATTTGAATTTGAAAATAAAAATAAGATTTCTAGGTCTTTTGACTGGGAACAAAACACGACAATAAAGACATAATTTTGATAAAAACCCATTCACTCTGGAAAGAATATTCACTATACCAGCTAAGTTTGTAAGTGACATAAAATTAACACTGCAAAAAATTTAATAGGTGCATTAACCATTCAAGAAAATTAATAACCATAATTCATCAATAAGCAGCAGAAAATAAAGTAGTTGACCTCCTTTTATTGATTGAACAACCACAAAGACTCATTTGCAACAGTCAAACAAAGTGAATGAAATCCATTGTAAAGAGAACTGTGCAAAATTCAGAACATTACCTATGACAAAGCATATACTAACATGAATATAGTTGTAAGTTGATAACAAAAAGCCCTTATAACCCTGATCAAATTACTTTCACCAAACATGGTATACATTCAACTTTGATTTCCTCAATATAACACACCACAAAAGAAATAATTTCAAAGACATTATTGAGTAAATGATGATGATAGAAAAAATACAAAAATTGCACAATAAATATATGCTATTCAAATTGTATAAACTCATTTAACGAAGACCAATATTGAAAAATATAACATTGAATGCTAATGAATCTATATATTGTAGATACAATACAGTCATCAACTGTCAACCGGAGAATGCTGGAAAATCTAGCAGGCCTGGGAACACCAAATAACCTTCATTACTATCTTACCTAGGTGATAGTGGTTGGATAAAGTTGTTCGCCCAATGTCGGGGAATAGTAGTATCACAATAATGCATTGTCAGTAGATTTTTGGTTGATGAAAATCTGTAAAAAGTCCTGGCTCAAATTCTATATTGGTGGGCCAACATCCCAACGGTTCCTCAACATTTCCCAACATTGGGGTGACCATGAGTGCTCACTAGGCTCTCACTATTCTCACTCACTCTTTTATTAAAATTGGTTAAGTGTTCTTCATTGTTTGGTTAGTAGTTGAATGTGGAGAATATCAATTTTAAACACTTTTAGGTAAAATTTCGCTACTAGTTTACTTTAAATTTAATTTAGTATTGTTTATATTTTTATTGGGTAATAATGAAATTCTGGAAAAAAAATCTCTATAAACTTGTTTTTTAGATAGAAGTATACATATATTTAATTATTTGTTTTTGGCGCTATGGTCCTACGAAAATCTAGGCCTGTCTTATAATCTTTCTCCACTCTCTTCTATCCCAGGCAAGCATCCACCAATTTGGAAATTCCGTCCTTTTCAGGATGCTCTCCACCTTGTCCAACCATCTCAGGCCTGGTCTTCTTTGTCACATATTTCACTGAGTTGATCCTCCAGCAGATGTTTGGGAATTGAATCTTTAGAGATATGGGCCACATTGAACCCATACAGCTCAAAAACCAATACCTTTGGACCATTGCTGCAATACACACTCATTTGAAATTATATGAGATGAATTTCTAAACTTATAGATATATAAAAACCTATACCACTACAACCCATGAAGGGTCTTAGGTTCAGTGCTATTTAGGAAAAGCACTGTTATATAGATATATACAATATATAAAGATATATACAATATAAATATAAATATAATATGACAATATATACAATATAAATATAAGATATAGATATATACAATATAAATATAAGATATAGATATATACAATATAAAGCCCTGTTATGTAGATATATACAATATAAAAATATTGAATTTAAAATCCTAAGTTATTAATAAATTGTTGACATTGTATGTATCATCATACTGCCTTGACTTACTTGTATAGATGAAGAATTAAGAAAAGGTTCAGTTGTTCTAAGGTATTTTAGAGGGTTTCCATGTAAAAAGACATTAATTAATGAGGGTATCTGTTGAAATACTCCAGAAGGAATGGAATGGAGACGATTATCGCTTAAATCAACAGTTTTCAGCTTTTTAAGTCCAGAAAATGCATTCAAACCAAGAGCCTGAATTGCATTTTTATCTAAATAAAGTTCTACTATTTGTTTCAGGCCAAGAGTCTGAAAAATGTATGAAAACAAATTACTGACACAAATAGACAAGATAATTTTATGTAATGGAAACTAAAATCAAATTTTTCTCAATCAAAATGTCTCTCTATAGCAGACAAATATATAATCCCAATCAATTTTTAATCATTTTATAGTATTATAAAAAGGTGGCATATAATTGGCTTGATAAATTTATTTATTTATTATCACAATATTTCTAAACTGCAATATATGGCGTGGAAGACTCTAGAGGAGTACCATTGATTTTGTCTGTTTATGATGTCTTTTCAAGCTAAAGTTATATTAAGTCGCCCAGTTTTAATAAGCTGATGTAATAGGTAAGCTTTTATTTATTATTAATTTTTTTTACTTAAAAAGCATATAGAGCACTGATAAATACCTCAAAAATGTTGTCATCTAATTCATAAATTAAATTATTTGAAAGCTGTAACCACTGAACTGAATGTGGAATATTCAAATCAACACTAATGAGTCCTTTTCCGATGCACTGAACATGTCTCAAGTGTTTTGAAACAAGACATTGACAATAATGTGGACAATTAACACTATTGACAATAGAAATTAAAAGATAAATTGTGAGAATGAAAAATAAAGCATTCATTTTTTCTTTTCAAATTACAGCAGTAAGTAGTAATTTGTTATCACAACAAAAATAAATCTCTAATTGACTCATCATTTAAAATAAAATAAAAACTATTCTATGCTTCAACAGTAATTGAGTAATTGCATTTTTTACAAATTGAGTATAAGATAAAATATAATATTACTGTGATTGGCAATACCTGACTTGGCAATACCTATTATCTTATCTAATCTTCACAATACCTAATTCTAAGAAGTGTGGATAAAAAAATGAAGACTAGTAATTTTTTCAGTAATCATCAGTTTTATTGACTATATTAGCCATAAAGAGTGTTAAACATATAAAAACACAATTATTTCAATTTAGAAGGTAGAATAATATATTCTGAGGGAAACAATGCTAATTAAGTGCATTGAAAAAAAATCTCTCAACTTGGATTCAAAACTTGATTAGACAGATCACATTTGTTACATGACATTTTTCCTTTTCAATTTCTAAATCAGCAATTTTTGTTTTACTTTATTTTTCAATGAATGGGGAGTGGAGTAAAGTAAGGTAAAGTAAATGACCCTAGGCTGCTGAATTCAGGTGCTAGTCCAGCTGTGGTAGGTAATTATTTACTTGATCAATCCAAGGGTTAGAAGACCCTTCTGTGGCACACTCAGCCTCTATAAAGTGGGTATTCGTAATTAAATAGTTAATTAGGAGATAAATCTGGCAGTTGAGCATGTTCTTGGACAAACACTTGCCTGCACAACTTCTTACCAAGAAACAGTACTTTCTTACACAGTACTGATTGCAAGACCCTCCATTGCACATATTATTTAATGTATTCTGTATTTGAAATTGTTATCTATACATTAATTTTTTTTTAAGGTTTAAAGGTTGCTTTATACCTAAGATTACAAAGATAAATGCTAAATTTATGTTTCTGTTTTAAATTATCTATTTTAATGGAATATAGCTTGGATTTAAATTAATTGGATTAAAATTGGCATATTCCAAAGTAATTAAAGAATCCTCCATTATATTGGAATAATAACAACAACAACCTGTACCACTACAATCCATGAAGGGTCTTGGGTTCAGTACTATTTAGGGAAAGCTCTGTTTCTATGGCAACGGTTATGCAAGGAGGTGATTTGACTGAGATAACGCTCAACCGCCAGGTTTTCCCCCTTAATCAATTATTACAAGGGTACCCACTTTGTAGAGGCTGGGTGTGCCCCAGGAGGGTCTTCTGACCCAGTGCCGCATCACAGCCAATGAAACAGATAAATAAATTTTCTGCCATGAGCTGGGGTTCGAACTTGGACCTTTTGCATTGGAAGCTCAGTACCCTACTACTGAGCTACCCCACTCTTATTGCAATATTAAACAACTAAATTTATAATAAACAAAACATTTTGGACATACAGTGTAACAAGGTGCGTATATATATATATCACAAACTATTGGAAAAACAATTATCCAACTTAACTGATTGGGACATAATTGCTAAACTAAACTATTTATTTTAATTCTCTTTTATTTTATATAATTAATTTAAATTTATTTTACTTCTCTTGGTACTGACAGCAGATGTAAAATATAAAAAATATTATTATAGTAAAATAATCATTTATATAATTGTTTGTCCCATAGTTTGTGAAATGTATAAATACAGCACAAGGATTATGATTATTATTAGTTTAGCCCTTTTGAATGACTAAAATAATTTTTAAAGTATCTAGTTATGGTACTTCAATTTTATACATAATAGAGCATTTAAAAAAAAAAAAAGAAATATGTCAGAAATCAATTAAGAATAATATTAATTACGTATTTATTTTTATAAATGCATTTAAAATTTAAAAGTATTTAATTCCATTACTAGACGTTATAGTAGTTTTCTGAAATTAATTGTAATATTTCAAAAACCTTGATTACCGCCATTGGTAATTTACGAACCAATTGTAATTGTCGCGTGCTCTAAAAAATGATAAGGGGTGTAAATAAAGTGACTTAACAGAAAGACTGATCCACTTTCTTTGCTACGCCCTCAATTACACAGGTTTGCAAAACCTAGTAATTTAATTATTAAGAAGTTATTTGCAATTTTAATTTTCTACATTTATGGGTCGTACCTGCTAGTGGTTTTAAGGATTTTTCTCTATTATTGGTATCGACTCAACTAGGTGTCTTGCAAATTATTTAGTGGTATCGATTTTGGTATAAGATTTTTTCTTTTTTTCATATTGCAAAATTGTATTGTTATATTGATTTCAAAAATGTCCTGAAGGATTTCTGAACTTATTGTGATGTAAGTTGGATAATTAATTGTCTTTTAACTCCCTACCTTTTGAATTAACCTAATACTAAGGTTATATTTTTGTAGGTGATGGCTCTTGCATTTTTGTGTAACAAATTGAAAAGTTCTGCTAGCCTTCTTCAACACTCAAGTTATATTAAGAGGATTCCTAATTTAAGTTTAGTCTTTAAAGGCGTTGTTGTTGAGGTTAGGTTTTGATTAAAATTTTTATTTTGTAGTTGAGTTACTTAAGATACATCTCTTATTGGCTTGAAAGAATCTACATATTTATATATGCATATATGTTTGTGAGCAAGGTTTATGGAAGAATATTTTATTAGGAAGAAGTCTGAGGCTTTTGGTTTTACATTGTCATTCTTCAAATGGTAAATAAAAGTAATATTTCAGCATGCAGTAGGAATAGTATGAATTACAATTTCATATTTCTTTAAAGAATAATGCTTCTTTGCTAAGATATATATTTTGATAATCGTTCAGTCAAATATGTTAATTATGATGTGATAAGAAGTTGAAAAATTAAATCTTTTAAGCTGAAATTTGTAGAATTTAAGAATTATAGATGTTGAGCAACTCATTTCTTCTTTTCATATCAAAGTGGTTTATTAAGTATATTTCATTTGTGCTAGTTTCTTACATATTCAAGGTTTATATTTTCTGTAGTATAGTTTGTTTATTGATTTTTTACAAAACAATAAACAAACAAGTTTTATTTTATTTTTCAATGTTACTGTTTTTGTTTTAATCATAATTTGAATCAATCAATATTTATTGAAAATTTAGTACATTTTAAGATATTTTATTTGTTGTGGAATAGAATTTCTTAAATTATCAATTTAGTTTTTTCTTTCAGGGTTAAATGTAATGATATTACTGCTTGATGTGATCTTTATCTTTATTTGTCTAATCTTTGGAATATTTTTTCATGAATCTTTGTTACTAAAATTTGTTCATAAAACTAAAACAAGAATTGAAGGTTTTTATTAGTTTGAATTTAATTTTTTTTTTTTTTAACTGAATCAGGTTAGTCATCTGATAAATCTGATTTTATTTGCAATAAGATTGTTTAAATATTTTTATATTCAAATTACATAAGTCATCTCAAGGAAACCTACTGATTTTATTTGCAATTCGAAGACAACCTATTTTCCTCCTCAATTATAAATGTTAGGAAATCATTACCATAGTTTTCTTTAGAATTGTCTGGTCATTTTGCTATTGTACTTAAAAGGTTTTAAAACTTGGTTAGGTTTTATATAAAGTATGATGAATGTTGCATTCACTAATCATTGCTAACTTAGTTTAGTTAAAAAATAATTTCTGTATTTGAATGAATAATCATTCAGCCTCAGAGAAATGATTGAATATTACATATTATTATCTATTTTAGAAGTTTGTAATTTTTTATAAATTTATTTTATAGCCAGCTGCAGAAAAGATGAAATTCCTTTATCCTGAAGCAAGAAGGGATGACAATTTAAAAGAAACCTTCTTTGGAATTGAGGTAAATGACTTCTACTGTTTTATGGAAAACCAAAAAATGACTTCTACTGTTTTATAGAAAACAAAAAAATGACTTCTTCTGTTTTATAGAAAACCAAATTACACTTTTTTAAATTGTTCATAGAAATAATATTCAAGTAGCATAGACACTATCCAATTTCTAAAGACCTGATTTTATAATTGATTATTTTATGTTCAAATGTTGAAAGGTAATGAAGAAACATAAAATAGATTCTCTTAGTTCGGAAAATTTTTCAGTGAAAAGTTAAATATCATTTTTTTCTCCCTTGCATGCCTTTCTGCATTACTGCATTACTGCATTGATTGCTTACTCCTCCTTAACCATCATTGTTTGGTGGTGGCTATTTTCTTTCTCATTAGGTTTCCCAGATGGGTGTGTGTGGTTTTAGCTTGCTGGTTCTGGTGGAGAGATGGGGAAGTAATGGTAAGTGGGACACGTGATCCTTTTTGCTAACCCCTGATGGCTGCCGAGTACTTATTAGATTGGGAATGTTATTCATTTGCCGTGGCTGCCAAAAAATGAAAAAGGAGACCCACTTCCCAGCGTGCTCAGCCATCCTGTCCTCCCGAACAAGAGGTAGATAGATCCAGTAAAATCTTTTCTGATCAACTGTAACTAATTTTTTGTTAGGATGTAGTCTTATTATTTTAACACATTCATTAGGCAGTCATTAGAATGTGATTAAATGCTCTGCAGTATCTGAAATGCTGCGGGTGGTGATCATTTCGACTTTGTGTAGTTTGGTTTGAAAGTTATCACACCCTATAATTATTTGCAGAATCCAATAGTCTGCTAAGAATGAATGGAATGGGAGAAGATACTTCCTCGTACTTTTCTTCAGTGTAGTCAACGGAAGACTGTTCCATTCTACATCTTTGAGACACCAGAAGGCACTTCTCTCCAGTTAGTTTAAGCAAGAAATGATATCCAGGCCTTAACTGGATCTTGCAGGTTGGTCTCAGCTTCTGATAATAGTACATCTCACTAAATGAGACCCCACTCTAACGTCTTTTTATTTTTCAGTCAAAAACCTTTGGTATAACATTTGATCAAACACTTTCCGTGTACCTCACATCGCTAAAATTTCCTGCAGACCTTTTTTTTTTGTTCTCTCCTACCTTACCTGTTAGACAATACAGGGGTTTTCCGTGGCCAGAGGGTGGGGTGGGGGGGATTAATGCCAGAGTTAAAAGACCCCCTGGACATCAGGACGCGAACTCGTAATTTTGATTGCTTCCAACTCCAGTTATCAGTTTGCCAGGCAACACGCGGTGTTGTGCACACATGTTAGCTTACATGGCCACCCCGCCCCTATTTCTTGCTTATTCATATCAACCCTCAAACAATTCAGTGGTCTCTGTTATATTCTTCCACGTAAAACCAATCAACTCTTTTTAACCCTTCTTTTGACTTAGACTATCTGTTGTACAGTGGACTCCCTTGCAAACTTGAAACAAGACTCGAACAAATTATGAACTGCTTAATTAGATTTGTTCTTGGGATCACTAGGGATTAGTTTATAATGCAGAGTTAAACCGGTTTCACTCTTCCTTTAGATGCGAGTATTTCCTAGCATCTTTATATCAAATAATCTGAACTCCTACTTATGAGGATGTATAGTATATTATGAAAGAAAGGTTGCTCAGGATAGATTAATTAAAACAGGCTGCAAACACTGAGGTCTCCCAGTCTCAAGTGACAAATACAGTGGCAATTCTCATGCAGTTTCGTGCCATGCTACCACCAACTCCCAGGTGCTACTGGGTACAGCCTTGCGTAGATTTGTTCAAGTTCTGGTCAGAGGTATTCTTGTAGAATGGTGATAGATTCAGGTTCCTAAATTAATTTAATTACCACTGTTCTAATGAAAAAGCTAAGCCTTCGTTCCCGGGTTAGTCCTCTTGTGGCGTCTGGGGTAGGTAATATCTCCATTTCTTTATCTTCAGCTGTGGTTAGAGTGAAATTAGGTTCGATGAAGAACAACCATTTATACAAATTTATAGCCAAAGTATTGCCTTGCATCAGTGGAAGTTAGCCTTCTTTTCCAGAGAAGTACAGAATCAATTTGCTTCACTTAAACTGGTAGACCCTCAGTTCCTGGTAAAGTTGATCTACTTCTTGGAGCTGAGATGTATGGATATTATTAATATTATTATAATGGCGCTATAGTCCTGCAAGAACCCGGGCCTCCTCTATTGCAGCCAACCAATCTCCACGGTCTTGTGCTACTTCCCTCCATCTTCGAACGCCCAGCCGCCTCAGATTGTCCTCAACATCCTCTGGCCATCGGATCCGAGGTTGCCCTCTACTTCTTTTGCCATCTGGCTTCTCATGCAGTATCTTCTTTGTCATTCTTTGGTCTGGCATTCTTTCCACATGACCTAACATCTGATTCTGGCTCTTTTCATCAATGCTACAATATCAGGTTCACCATAGAGTTCCCACAGCTCCTCATTCTTTCTTCTTCTCCAAATTCCATTCTCAAAGATTCCGTCCCATATTTTTTTTAATACTTTCCTCTCCCAGGAGTTGAGCGTGCGTTCTGGGTTTTTGGTTAAGCTATTAATTAATCCTGTTTTATTTCTTAAGGCTCAAGCTAAAGCTATTCATACCTCATTAGGATGGGTACTATTTGGGGACACCCTCCCAGATAGCCTTGCACCTTCAGTCCATATATTTTTCATGCAGACCAACCTTTCCTTACACGAGGGATTATAGGGATTTTGGGAGACTGAGGTCAGTCTCAGTTTCAATTCCTCCAAATCTGGAAGATACATTTGGCAAAGATCACTTTAAAAATACATGCACTCGTATTCTCCAGAGTACATTTACTGTTTCACTTTCTAAACAGTCTATCATTCTTGAATCCACTTTAGAGATAGCTCTATACAGATTTAGAAGTCTTAAAAATAGATTTATGAGAGATCCCGAGTATAAGTCTGCCTGTGCTACACAGATTGACCGCCTCGCCAAGAGTCCTTAATGTCATGACCCATCTCTGAGTTATTAGAGATTCTTCTACGATAACACTTATCGTGGTATAAACTGTTTGGAGAAGATAGTGAGAGGGAATTCTCTTAATGATTTTCTTTTGAATCGTCAGACTGTCAGACACAGATCGCAGCTCCAGACTATTATTGCGGAACTTATAGATTATTTTCGAAGTTTTCCTGTGCCCTTAACATGCGATATAAAAATGATGTTTAGGTGTATCCGCATTGCCGAAACTGTTCAAAATTTATTACGTTTTGTTTGGAGATATGAATCTTCATAGCCGATTCAGGAGTATGAGTTGGTTACCCTGCCATTTGGTTTGAAATGTTCTCCTTTTATTGTTTAGAGAGTCATTTTACAATTATTTCAGGAAGAAGGCCAAAGTTTTCCTAAAGCTGCCCAGTGTCATGATCAAATTTATGTAGACAATGTAAATGATTGGTGCTCGCATTAGTGAGGAGGCTTTGGAACCGGATAATGAGTTGATGGCCATATTTAGATCAGGTGGGTTTGAACTCATAAAATTTTCCAGTAATTCTGAAAAAATACTTTCCGTTATTCTCGGGTGTAGTCAAGAAGTTCTGTTATGCCGGGATGAAGATTCCTCGATCATCAAGGTTTTGGGATTCCAAACTTGATCATTTCAGATATTCAATCCAAGAGAGTGAGCCTATCTTTACTAAAAGTGGTATTCTGTCATTTATTGCCAAAATTTTTTATATAAATGGATATATCAGTCCTATAATCTTTTCAGTTTAGTGTATAATACAACGTTTGTGGCTCCTTAAAGTAGACTGGGATGATGAGTTGCCCTCTAGTGTGTCTTCATTGCGGAAGGTTTTCCTTCAAGAATTTCCAAGCTTAAGAAACGTTTGTCTGCCTTCTTCTTTTATCATTAGCCAGAACGCATCATCCATGCAGCATATCTCCTCAGACGCTTCCGTGAAGGGTTACGGTTCTGTGATCTACCTAAGAGTTAAGTACCCAGGAGAAGCTATCAAGATTTACCTGTTAAGGACAAAAGGTAAGGTAGCTCACTTAAGGTTCAATCGGTAACTCGTTTGTATTTCAAATTTTCAAAATTTCTTCCTCTAAAGTACCCTTAATTTTTTTATTTAAAATAATTAACCATTTCACATTGGCTAGTGTGATATAAAAAATGGTTAAGCATTATGAATGAAGAAAATTTATTAGTAATTAAAGGAGAAATAAGGGTTGGAAGCTATACCGAAGCAGCCGAGAGCGCCCAACCTTTGCCGATTCTCTCCCTTAACAGATATCCGATACCCCTCTGTACAGGGTTTTCATATTGTTACTATAACTTATCCATATTATTTCAAAAGGTTTCCATGCAAAATGTTGAGGATCTACTAATATAAATCTAACAATATACAATATTTACTAACTTGTAAGTTATTTTTTTGACAAGATTAATGATTAATATTTCCGATAAAACTCAGAATTTTTCCAAAAGATCCTTTTTCTCCCACATTATTAGTTTTGTTTGAGACTAAACACAGTCATAAAAGGAAGTGGAAAGTGATGCAAACATATAAATTTAACTGATTCGATGGACGAGAAAAAAATAGTAATTTATCATAGTGAATTAATAATTGACTGTCATGGGTATATTGAAGAGAAGTTGGTTGGAGTGTTCAGTCACAAGTAACAAAGTAAAAATAAATAAATTGTATTTATTTTCATTTTTATTTTGCCGACATTTCGGCTCAACGTTCAGACCTTCGTCAGGGCTCCTCTAATGAAAGGTTCCATAAAACTGACCAAAAACATCAACAAAAATAAATATAATTTATTTATTTTTACTTTGTTACTTGTGACTGAACATCCCCAACCGACTCCTTTTCAATATGTTAATTTATTGTTTTAACTGAAGTTATACTGTCACTTTCATTTTGACTTCCCTATACATGAAAATACCTATGTACTCCAAGGTTGGTTAATGAAAGTTGTGTGATGTGTACTCCCCACCAGGTTTTTATTTTACTTTAAGTATAAGTATCGTAAACAATATATTGTCAGTACCATGTTAAAGTAACGAATGCGAGCCTGTTACATGTTGAACATTCGTGACTTAAACATGGTGCCGATGTGATGTATGTGGCAAAGCCTACCTATTGCTGTAAGTTGAAGAGCTTAAAAGCTATAAAAATAACTATCTATCTAGCTATTTATAAAATTTAATTAATATTGGTTATATTTATTTTAAACGAATCTCTTATATAAATGAGTATAGGTGGCTGATCCATACCGATGGTTGGAAGATCCAGATAGTGAAGAGACTAAAAATTTTGTTGATGCTCAAAACAGCATATCTGAACCTTATTTAAAAGGTTGTGTAGCTAGAGATAAGATCAAAGCTAGACTAACTCAAATGTTAGATTATCCTAAGTACTCTCCTCCGGAAAAAGAAGGAAATCATTACTTTTATTTTATGAACACTGGTCTTCAGAATCATAGGTAATATTTATCAAAGTTTAAGATTTAATATATTTTTTTTCCTTCTCAGGTTATTTTATTATTTATTTATTTTTAGTGTACTTTACATGCAAGATTCTCTTGATGGTGAATCAAAAGTCTTTCTTGATCCAAATACTTTCTCTGAAGACGGAACAGTTGCATTGACGTGGACATCATTTTCAGAAGATAGTAAAATTATGGCATATACTATTAGTAAAAGTGGCTCAGATTGGTGCACAATTCATTTTAGAAAAGTTGATACAGGTGAGCTTTAACTTCTAATATGAATTTCTTTGGAGTTTCTTTATTTATTACTTTCACTTACCTATATATGTAATATATAGTAAGTGTAAGTATTGCTATCGTGAAAATTTTTTAATCTGAATTTTCAACGGAAATACACGTTTTGAGGTCCCCTGAATCCAAATAACCAAGTCCCTTAAAATGGTCTGTGTGTGTGTGTGTGTGTTAACAGTCTAGCTCAAAAACGAAAAGTCGTACGGAAGTAAAATTGCATTTTTAAGGTATGCTAGGGATGTTACAGCAAATTTTGTCAAAATTCGCTAACCGGAAGTGGGACTTTCCACATATAATGGACTAACCACATATTTACGATTATCTCGAAAACCGCTCTAAGGATTTTGATTAAATTCATTATATTTGTGTAAAATTAAGCACTTTTTAATATAATGTAGATTTTATTCTCATTGATGTTCTCTCTAACAGGGCTTGTATGGCTAATTTTCAATACTAGCTTACTCCGAAGTACTTTTAATTTTTTTTATTTGAAACTATTGACCATTTTACATTAATTTCTAATATGAAAAATGGTTAAATATAAAATATGAAAGAATATGTATTCGATTAATAACTAAAGGAGAAATAATATGAGCGCACCCAAGTTTGTGCGAAAGATTAAAACACGCTTCCTTACGTGTCATGTGATTAATATAATACGAACTCCGACAATATTATATAAATATACACATGTGGTTTTCATAAATGTTATTGTTGGTATTATTTAATATTTAATTGTATAAATTAGAGTGATATGAATATTAAAAATTTGTATATATGAGGGTAATTACATAAATAAAAATACCCACAATGAAATATAAATAAATATAGAGTCTATAATTTTTACTTTCACTTCGCTTTGTCTGAAAATACTTATTTCTGCTAAGAAGAGGGTGGTAAGTGAAAGTTGTGTGATGCGCGATAGATTTAAAAATAGATTTTTTTTATTTGAAGTTGGTATTTGATAAAACATTGTTAAAAACCAATCAATGATTATTTTCATTGAAATAAAATTATTTTTCTAATTAACTACATATTAGTTATTTTAAAAAAAGTTAAATCAATTTATTAAAAGCTTATAGGACAGCAACATTATGTAATGAATAAATTTATGAAGAACTAAGATAAACAGATCAAGTATTAATTGGGACCTGTCATTAAATTCAATTAAGAATTAAGGATTTAATAACAGATTAATCTACATTTCCCTTCGGTTAATTTGTTGCTAAGACTTTGTAGGCTTAGAATTTAGTGATTTGATTCTATCTTTATATTTTGTACAAAACTCAGCCAATAACGATACTTCTGTTTATTATGGCCATTACTTGGCCTACCCAGGATCATGACATTCAACAGTTTGTTTTTCAATGCTCCATTGGAATAGACTTTCAACTTAATCAAGATGCTCTCTGGTTAAAACCATACTTAAAGCCGTTTTTCTTACAGATTTTCAAATCATAACATTGTTATGCTGTAATTAATGCAATATTTATCAGTATTCACAGCATAAAAAAATCAATATTTTACTGAAATATCTAAAAGTGAATAGCAGTTATATCAAAGATAAAAACTCTCCTGATGACTCTTAAGTAATGACAAGAATTGTGCTTAATGTTATCATTCATATAAGTTGAACCAATAATCCCATAGTAATAAAAATAGTTTATTATAGCCTTTAGATGGTGTCCTTAATTAATAGATACAAGTGAGCTTGTAAATGCCTTTACATATGTCATCATTAATTGATTAAATTTTACTATTAACCTACTAGAAGTTTTAACCATTAAGGTACATTTGCTGTAGAAAGTTGGTGTGGAATCAAACTCTCAAGTCTGAAAAAAAGGTTTCTGTAAAATAGTGTCTGTTAATAAAAGAAAAAATATCCTAGAGCATGAATTTATTTTTAAAAATTTTAATTTAAATACAATTGGGTCTTAGAAAGTAAGTTTTGAAATATTAAGTTAACAAGGGCACTTCATAGAATATTTTAAAAGTATCCACTGCAATGTTCACTGGAAGTGACTTGATAAAGATAATCAAGGCCGTCACATGGGTTTCCGGCGCTCGAAGTGAGATTTTACTGGGCGCCCCTCCCTCACCCCTTCTCAATTCTAAATCTGCTAATAACCTATTATTCAATGTTTAAATAGAGAAAGAGAGATAAATATTATGTTTTTTTTTTTTTTGTTTTTATTTTGGTTGGTGCTACAGACCTTGTAGATCTTTGACCACGAGATGTAGTCTTCTAGACTACATCCCGATTCCTGATTTTAAGTACACGGGGGTAGGGTCATCAGTCCTACGCCCAGTCGGTGTGAGTTGCCTCCAGGCAGGCTGACGTGCCTCACAAACCCAAAGGGGGGTCTCGGGCAGCATGGCTTTTCTGGTGATGTTCATCCATCCAAGTGCTAACCACGCTCGGCATTGCTTAACTTGGTCATCTATTGCAAACACCTTAGCCCGCACGGTTACTCCAGCCCCTATATTACAATATATATATATATATATATATATATATATATATATATATATATATATATATATATATATATATATATATTGCAATATATATTGTAATATATATATATATATATATATTTATCTATATATACATAAAATATAAAATGTTGGCTTATTGGGGGAATGGCAAAATTTCCTCGATGTTTCCTGATTATCGCCAATGCGTAAATAACATCAATGCAACTGTTGTGACATATTGGGGCGCACATACTATAGAAGGAGCAATTCAAAGACATACAAAAAAAAATTATCTTTTGAGCATTAATTGCTTATTTATTATTAAGTATATATATGCTTTGTTAGTACAAGAGTGGGTTTGAAAAATGTTACGAGGTAAACTTGTGATATAAGGTCTGCCACCAAACAGAAAGCCAACAATTGTGTATCCATAAATACTAGCAGAAACAAAGTTAAAATAAAAACACTTTCTTTCTGTGGCATTATAACAAATGCCAGGTACTCACTTCTCATGTCATCAAAATTACGTAATCCTGATTATTACTATAGTGAAGTGTTCATAATAACTTTAAAAGAGTTTTATTTGGAACACTCAAACTTTGAAACACTTATTTACATCAATTTGTAATAAAAAATAATTAAATAGGAATGATAAATTTTAAAATTATTGAAATTTATTTATTAAACATAGAACACACTAGTAGACCATGTTGTGCAATTTATCTATAGACTGTCTAGAGACACTGTTCTTTGTCTCATCTTAGCAGTCCAATATATCTAAATATCAATATTTTCTTCTGATATTTGATATTTTACCATCATACTTTGATATTATCGACTATCGATATTGTCCTTACGATATTTTAATTTAAAAATAATAATTAAAACTATAGTTTTCAGAAAGCTCTGGGGATTCCATATCTATTTGATCATTAAAAAATAAATTCTCATCTATGGGTGAATAGAAGGTGAAGGTGTAATTAGTTGAATAGAAATTTATGGAAAAAAGCTAAGGATGAAGTAGATGGACAGGAACCAGAAAATTAATTTTACTAAGGAGGGAAGAAGAATTGACATTTCCATTTATTAATTTAAAGAGGAAAATAACATATGGTAAACCTATTTTTGGAGACGGAGTGACCGAGTGGGCTAACCTGTGTGAAGATAATCGGATAAAATAATACGTGTTTGCATCACGGTGCTGGAGGGCTTTTAACTCTGGCATAAATCTCCTGCCCTCATCCCCTGTCCCCAGAAAACCCCTTGTAGCCGTTATGAGGAGGATAGAAAAAAAAAACAATCATAAGCTTATTTGCTAGAGAATCAATATTAATTTTATAATCAATATGAAATCTTCGTATTTCAAAGATATTGGTTATTCAACAAAATTTTTATAATATCGATGATAGTATAATATCAACTGTCGGTAGTATCGATATTTCGATGGTATCGGTAGTTATAGGTTGATATTTCTATCGATAACAATATATCCCTGATTATATAGCTTTCAATACCCCACCACTGGGACCTGAGTGATGTCCACACTGTCTAATTGTTGCGCAACATATTTAACATTGCATAATGTCTCCCTTTCCGATCGAAAGACTTTAGACCTGCAATTTTTGTTCTTGCAACAGGCCTGTAGACAGGGATTTATCTATAGACATGTCTATGTTGACAAACTACGACATGTCTCTGAGACCAAAATCGCTCAACATTTCTACTAGTGTGGACTAAGCTTAAATGTTCCTAGGATTGATTGGCCTTATGTTTTATACCTATACAAATCAAATTAGTAACATTAAATTAAATTAAAGCAAGATCAAATTCACCCACAGCTTTAAACAAATTCACCTTAATTGAACTTCATTGATAAATATTTCACTTCTGTTCCATCTCACTAATTCATGTTTATTGATTCACTACTCATGTCATTAATTAATAAAATATAATTCAATAATTTACATTTAGAAAAATCACCTGTTATCTTCAATACTTAAAATAGGATACAAGGAACAGAGAAAGGTTGTTTTGTTGAATGTTAACTTGCAAACATAGTTATAGAAAGCATTTGTGGTTAAGGGAGGGAGGATGTTGACTACTGTTTTAGTCTGATTTATGCTGAATAGACATGAATTTATTCTTTTCGCAGAAATGCACTCGGTAGCTAACACTTTCTTTTCTATTTAAACTAAAAATAAAATAAGTATTTCTTCAAAGCTACAGAACTATAGTATGATATATGTACATGACATTATTTATCTATTATAAATTAAAAGGAATTTTTTATTTGCATATATTTATTCTAAAATGTTCTGACTACAAATACTTTCTTACTGAAGATAATATTAGTTTAGGATTGAATCCGTAATCAAAAATTATAAAACTATATTTTTTCATATTATTTCTGTTAAAACTTAGTTCTCAAAACATGTGTGAGATTTAGAGTAAAATGTTGGAATTACTGCTATAATGATAATTGGGTTAATTGATATTGTAGGAGAGGATTATCCAGAAGAATTAAAGTTTGTGAAATTTGGACAGGCTGCTTGGACACACGATAATATCGGAGTTTTTTATACTGTAAGTTTGTTTGGAAATTATTATATTTTTATTCTTTATTAGCTTGTGTTGATCAATTACTTCTTCATATTCTATTTGTATCTGTCATTGCCCTTTTTTATGGACAGTTGTTTTAAATTTTAACTAATTTAAGTTTACATTTAAGATGTACATTTATTTTTGTTATGAATCTTAAATTGTGTAATAGTTATTAATCAAATATATTGCTTCTGGTTTATTTAAATTAATTTTTACTTTTGATTCAATTTCACATATTTGAGGAGTGCACAAATACATCATTAAGTATTAGTAATATTGTAATATCTCTTTCAACTTTTGTGTTTAAAATATGAAGTGAATTATTTTGTTTTGTTCCTTAAATGCCGTAATATTTTGTAATTAAAAATATAACTTGATGGTCATCTGTAATTAGCTGTGAACATCAGATATAATTGACTTTTTAACCATCTAAAAAAAGATTAAAGATTTTAACAAATGACAATTTTTATTTAAAATGAAGACACATACTAGACTTAAAAATGGCTTTAGGTTGCTGACATCTGAAACTGGAGGTAGATAAATAAAAGAAATTTGTTGATGGCCACTGGACCAATGGCATTGGCCTATAATTTTGATCGAAAAATAAATTAAATTAATTTTAAAATGTACTGTATTTAGTAGCACCACTGGTCCTTACAAGTGTTTGTTATTTTGAATATTTATCCATTATAATAATACTAAATATAGTTTGGTTCTTACCTGACTCATAAATGCGTAATAATGATAAAATATGAACTTTAGATATTTAAAAGCAAATGTTTCTTATTTAACCATGTATAATTCATGTTGATATATTGAAATGAAATACTATGTTTTAAATTGTTGATGTGTTAAAGCTTACCTTGGCTATCTTAATTTTATCCTGTAATTTAAGTATAAAAAATAGTACTTGTTTCATGTTATGGTTCTGTGGCCTCTGTCTTTGTTACAGAAGGTTAACAGAGAGAAAGTTAATGATACCGCATCTTATTAATAATATATGAAAGCATGCTATTACATATAAACTGCACTCTGTCCATTCTCCATTTTCATTTTATTTTATTTTTAATGTGTTATTATGGAACATTATTGAATAATTTAATTTTCAATTTTATTTGGTAACTAGCTTTAACCGGGCACGCGCTGCTGTGGCTTAGCCTTGCAAAATGAAAAAGAAAGAAAATAGAAAGCACATATGAATAGATTAGTAGCAAAGGACATCTGTCATTTTTAAAAAGTTGGGAAACAAATTTCTCTGTAAAATGGCTTCAATTTAAAGTAATTCTAGTGATTTTTTTTCTCATGATTCAAATTGAACATTCATAATCATCTGAGTGAATACGCCGTCATTCATAATCACCAGAAACTGTCTGAGTTGAACTTAAAAAACTAAATAAAAAAATTAATAAAAAAAACGTATAATAGTATTGACCTACATAAGGAGAATCATATAACTTCTTCAAATGATAATTTCAATTACTTTAGTAATTATAAAATTTTTGATTAATCAATAAAAAAATAAAAAATAAAAAAAAATGCTTGCCGACGTTCGGTAGTGCAGAAGCAAAAGGAAACGGCCTTTTCTGAACAGAAAGCAGTAGATGTTTAAAACTCAATAACTCTGCAACGAACCATCCGATTTTGATGATTTTTTTTTTTATTTTGTCAGCAATTTAGAAATCTTTCATATTAATATGGGTATTATCTGTTAAAAATTGTGTATTTTTTTAGTCATCGTCAAATAAAATATTGAATTCATCGTAACATTTTTCAGCTTGTTTTCGGGAAATTTATTTAATTTATGTGTATAACTTATGTTATACACATAAATTAAAATGGTTTCAAGGGGAAGACTTGAGCCAAGTTTCGTTAAAATTGGTAAAGCCGTTTTGGCGCTACAGTTTATAGCGACACATTTTTTGTGGCTTTGAACAGAAAAACATTTACATTTTTATTTTTTTTGCATATATAAAATTATTGTAAGGCAGAAGTACTATGCCAGAAACCTTCCCAGGAGTGTACAGAACAACTTCCCAAAGTTTCATGGCGATCGGTTGAATGGTTTAGTAATGCACTAAGGACAGACAGACATACATTCATTTTTATACATATAGATATTAAGCTTTATTTTATTTTATCTTTTTTTTTTATAATTTACATTCAAATAGTATTATATGCAGAAATAAAGGTATTAATTTTTCAGCGCTTTCCCGAAGTGGAAGGGAAAAGTGATGGTTCTGAAACAAGCCAAAATAGAAACCAGAAAATATATTACCATAAAATTGGTACAAGTCAGGCTGAAGATATACTAGTCGTTGAGCTGGATGATCCTGAATATATCTAGTTAGTTTTGTCTTAACATATTTTTAAAAAATCCATTAAATAAAAATAGTTAATTTTTTTTGCATTTAATCAATTATAGATTAAGGTTTAAAAGACCAAAAATACTCCCCAAAACACCCAAAAGGCTTTTTAAAAAAAAGAAAAAATCAGCAGTCTTAACTACATGTGGTGAATTGATGTATTTCATTATTTAAATTTAAAACTGATTTAATTCTCAAAAAAGTTTCGACTAAAGAAAAATAAATTAAATTTCAGAAATATTGTTTACTATGACAGGTAAATGACCTGCTAAGTGTGAAACAAAGAGAGAATTTCAAAACAACTAGACTTTGTATAGGACTTTAAATAAATTATTATATCTTTAACATGTATTCCCACGGAGAAAAATTATGTATGGTATTTCAAGATTTTTTTTTTAATTTAAAACTTTTGAAAATTGCTAACAAAGGCTAAAAAGTTGAAAAATTAGGTTAAAAATAATTTTGTTCTTGTCAAAAAGATTTTTTATTTTTGATATTTTTTGTAGAACTACTTATGATATTTTAAACCTTAATACACTATTAATTAAATGTAAAAATTAAATTCAAATCTCACTTGTTATGAACAACCTAAATCAAGTTGTTAATAATTAATTTTGTTCTCTCCTTTTATTTATTATGAAAAGCATTTAACAGTTTCCCATTTTATTTTTACAGTAGTGTTTATGTTAGTGATTGTGGAAGATGGCTTGTTGTTTTACCTTTGAAATTTTGTCACAACAATCTGATATATTTTTCTGATCTCTCTACCCTTACTGATGGCATTAAGGGAAAGCTGGAAGTTACCTGCATTGTAGATAAATTTGAGGCTGATTATGAGGTATGGATTAGGTTTTTCTTTTTAATTTGGTTTCAATGACATACATCTGTTTTAACTTGTTCTGTATAGTTATATTTATTTGAATCCTCATTTTGTATTCATCCAATCATCGATGGTTATCATTTCATTATGGGATTTCTATTTTCTTTTTGCCTCATTATTTATCCAAAATAAAATAATCATAATTACTAATATATCATTATAATTGTGATGAATTAAGTTCAATTTTTTTAATATATTTTCAGTTTGTTGCTAATACCGGAAGCAAATTCGTATTTAGGACAAATAGAAATGCACCTAATTATAAGTTGATTACAATAGACTTTGAAAACTATGCTGAAGAAAATTGGGTAACATTAGTTCCAGAACATGCTTCTGATGTACTGGAACAAGCAGTTTGTGTTGCTCAAGATAAGCTTGTACTTTGCTATATTCGTGATGTTAAGGTGATTTATTTTAATTAATATTATTAAATATGATATAATAAAATCAAATAAGTTTGTATTGTCATAGTGACTGTATTTCTGTTTTTTAGAATATGCTTGATATTCATAGTTTGGTTGATGGATCTTTAATAAAAAAAATTCCAGGTCCTATAGGAACTGTATGTGCTATATCAGGATCTAAGAAACACCCTGAATTGTTTTATACTTATATTTCATTCACTAGTCCAGGGACTATTTTCAGATGTGATCTCAGCCAATCACCAATTCCAGATCCAGAGGTAACTACCATTCATAAAGATATTTTTAAATCGTTTTGATTCATATTAAGAACATTATTTATTCGTTGTGATATTACTTACCTTCATTTCAGAAACCTTAATATTAAAATTTACCAAACTATTATCCTTCTCACGATTCTTTACGGGTACAAAACATGGCTGCTTTGAAGGAGAAATTGATATAAGATCTTCGATACAGAATGAATAAAGTCTCTTACAGAGTGGTTTGTCAGAGGAAGTATGAATTGAATAGAGACTTTAGGAGACAGTACAATGCCGAATTATGGAGCATGAATATAATTAAAGTGATAGTTTTAAGACATTTGAATAGGCATGTGAAATGGTAGGGCTTGGCAAGTGAAGAATTCCTGAAACATTAATAAGCCCTGAACTGACAGGTTAATGTCTGATGTGTAGATGGGTTGATTGTGTTCATGCTGACTTTGCGGAATTGGGCTCTGGCTGGGTGAGGGTGTGTAGACAGCTCGGGATTTCCTTGTTGGATATTAGGAAAGTTATTTCAGTTTTCTCTGTGGACCTAAGTTACTATAGTTTTTTACTTTCCTACCGTTACTAACCATGGAAGTTATTGAATTCAGGTCAAATTCCAATGTGTAGTTTTAAATGGATATATGCATTTTAGTGTAACTTAAGTTTAAAAAACACAATTTCAGTTGTTTCTGTGCCATGATTATCTTTAATTTGCATGTATTAATGAATAAAAGAAAAAATACAATATCTATGAACTAATTAATTATAAATATATGGATTGTCAAAAGTTGTGGGTTATTAATAACCCAAAACTTTTGACAATTCATATATTTAATTTATAATTTATAGATATTGTATTTTTTCTTTTAATCATTAACCCTAGAGTACAATTTATTCATTACAAGAGTACACTGTAATTTTTATGACCACCTTAAATAAAACAAAGTGTGGCACTACAGTAAACATGGCTATTCAACACCCATCCTTCAGAACCTTTTCATCAAGATAGTCTTGACATAGTTTGATATTGAAATATAAGTGTGTGTTTCTTGGAATTAGACCATTACTCCCTTAGACTCATAATTTTTACGAACATTTGTGAAATCGTTAAGGGAATGGGATAACTCAGTGGTGGGGTATTGAGCTTCCAATGGCCATGGCCACATTTTCTAGAACAAGAAATATCAATGCCAATTTCATCAAAAACTGGGTCTGCTTGTGCTAATGTCTGCACATAACTGAAAAAGTATGCATTTTATGGCAAATTATATATATTTAATTTATATGACTCGTAAGTTGGTGTCCTTGGTAAGAACTCAAACTATAGGTTATTTTGTAGTTGGCAGACCATCATGATTAATATTAATACTGAATAATTGCAACTTTTAATACAAGAACTTTTGAGGGATTAATATCATTTAGTTGATATTTAATCTTTATATTTTTACTTGGTCCATTCATTTTACCTTAGTTAAAAAAGTTTTTGTCGATTTTAGGTTTTCAGGCAAATTACGATTCCAGACTATGACCCTTCCATTTTCGAAGAAAAGCAGGTTTTCTACCCTAGTAAAGATGGAACACAGATTCCTATGTTCCTGGTCCATAAAAAAGTGAGGTGTCGTTTTTTTATATAAAAATATAATTTTTAATTCACACTGATATTTAACTACTTTTTTTTTTTTTTTATTTAACTCCTATGCCATTGGCTATTAGACCATTCGGCTCAATATTTAACTAAGTAATGTTATGTAAATGTTAACAATAATTGTTTATTTCTATTGGTTCATTATTTTTCAGGGTATGGAAAAAAATGGAAAAAATCCTTGCATGGTTTACGGATATGGAGGATTTAATATTAGCCTTTTACCAATGTTCTCGACTATCAGACTTGTTTTTATTCAGAATTTTGATGGCATATTTGTTTCTACCAATATAAGAGGCGGAGGGTGAATGCATTTTTGGCACTATATTTCATGTTTTTTTTTTTGTTTTGTTTTTTTGTCTTAATTATTTTTATTACATCCTAGTGAATATGGTGAAAAGTGGCATGACGGAGGGAGGTTGTTAAACAAACAAAATTCTTTCGATGATTTCATAGCTGCTGGCGAGTATTTGATTGCTGAGAAGTACACCAGTAAAGATTTATTGGCAATTCAAGGAGGCTCTAATGGTGGACTCCTAATAGGTGCATCTGTTATTCAAAGGCCAGATTTATTTGCAGCAGGAATTGCTCAAGTTGCGTGAGTACATTTCTATATTTTTTTATTTGTTGAAATATAATTATTTATTTTTACAGCCCTAAAAACAAACAATAAGAACAGAAATATAATACATCAGATTGTATATTTATGGTTATAAGGAATAAAATAAAAATGTCCTCATGAGTTACGTGTATTGTAATTTGTCTCAGAAACCTTCTGTAAACAGTGAAGAAGTTTGTTACTCATAGCTCTAAATATTTTCATTCTGCTTTCTATTAAACTGATGCATGCATTAACTTAAATCAAGATATTATCTTTGAAATAATTTATGGTTATCACAATTTTTGAAGTAATGGTCAGAGAAGTGGTAAAATGAAACAAAGAAGTTAAAAACTATTTGGCATAAGCAATAATTTCAGCCCCTTATCAGACATTCTTCAGAATCCTTACAGGCTTTTGCAGCATGACTGTCAAACTATAATAAATGCTTCACTATTATAAATCTTTAATTTGTATATTTGCTAATCCTTGCTATCACAATTCTTTACTTTTAGTGCAATGCATGGGATAAAAATTAAAGATTCATAAGGAGCCAGTATTTCTTCTGATACTACATGGCATTTTGTTAAGCTTTAAAAGAGGGTTGCATTGAATAATATTGTTTGGATTAAATTAATGCTTTTAATCTATCATTATATATTGTATCTCAAATGTGTTTTTTGTTGGTACATGATTAAGCCATAATTTTTAAGATTATATTCTCCTTGAGGTACGAAAAATTAACCCATTCTCCCAAAATTCTGGTAAAAAAGGCTACAAAGAAATGGAAACTTTACTTGCTCATAGTTACTCTGACTCGGAATTACCGTTATTATGATGACTATATATGGTGGCATAATGTTAAGTCTACTTTTTATAGCACTGTTTTCAAGTAGAAAGGAAAAAGTTGAGATTTTGAACAAACATTGAAGATTATCTTATCAAAATTATACAATTTATGGTTGCTTACCCCAATTTCCCCACAAAACATTAAAAACATAAATAAAAATAATAGAAATCGGACCATCTTTGGCAAAGACAAAGCCAATGTTAACATATATACCTGTTTTGGTATATTATTTTGAAATCAAAATTAATTCCTCCCTCTGTTAATACATTACATTTACTTTTTCCCTTATGTAACCCTTTGTAAAGAAGTCGGTTTGGATGTTCTGTCAATGAAAAATTATAATTATATTACTATTTGTTCAGTGATCAATTTATTATGCTAATTACTTCATGGGTCCACTAGTAAGAATACAAAAAGAAAGTCAATTAAACAAAAAAAAGTAAGATGAAAATGAATAAATAAAACAAGCTGAACTTTTCCATCTATTTAATCTTTGTTTTAACCTTATAAAATTTGTTAAAAATGAATATTTTTATGTATTTTAAAGAAAATTCTATTTCAACTTCTTACTTCACTGTTTACTGATATAGTTTTATACGCAGTGTTCTAGATATGCTTCGTTACCATAAGTTTACCATTGGTTCAACTTGGGCCTCCGATTATGGAAATCCTGAACAAGAAGAACACTTCAAGAACCTTATCCAGTATTCTCCTCTACACAACATTAAAGTACCTGAAGACCAGGTATATATGGAAGCATCCGATTTAATATATGAAGGTCATGTTATATAGAAATAATTTTTTTAAATATTTAATTTTCAGTACCCTGCCCTTCTTCTTCTGACAGCCTCCCATGACGATCGGGTTGTACCTTTACATTCTCTTAAGTTTATTGCAGAAATGCATCATAAAATCAGGAACCATCCTAAACAGGTAAGTTACCAATGAAATCATCACAGAAATGGTGATGTGGCTATTAAAAGGCATTTAATTACTTTTATTTTAATTTTTAGAAAAATCCTATTATGATACAAGTGGAAACTAAAGCTGGTCATGGAGCAGGAAAGCCTACAAATAAAAGGGTAAAAAAAAGTTTTCAAATGATTTCCAAATAGTTATTCAGTACAACCCTTGTTTGAAAAAACTTTAACATTCTCAAGTGTAGAGATGTCAGATCGAATCCAGTATAGATGGGTTCAAATTTATTATACCCATAGAATGAATCTCAATCTTCCCACTGTAGTTAAAATAGGTTTGGTTGTACCTTTACAACAACCTGCCAGAAATGGCGAGGTAGAGGGCTTAAAAAAAAAACCTTTGAAAAACTTAAAAGCTTATTCTAAATTGTTCAATATATTCACAACTGATGAAAAAAAAAATTATTAATTGACACTCAATATAAAATTTCTAACATAAAACAGTAGTTATATTTTTTTTTAAATTATTTTATTTATTTTTTTATTCACCCCTTCCTCGCCTTTCAGGTTACATAGAGATTTTCCCGGCCAATAAAGAGGTTGGGGAATTAATGTCAGAGTTAGAAACCCTCTGGCACTGGGATGTGAACTCATAATTATTTTGTATCTTGAAAACTTCGGTTTATCATCTAGTTACCGGTTAACGAGTGTTTTCCACAAGTACTAGTCCACTCTGCCACCTACCCAGTAGTGATATATTTTTACTTTCACTTACCTATAGATTAAATTTATAGTATAGAAAAGTCTTGCGATCGTGAACAATTTCTAATCTCAGTTTTCAATGGATATACACTTTTTGAAGTCCCCTGAATCTAAATAATCAAGTCCCCCAAAATGGACTAAGTATGCGCCTGCGTGCGTGTTAACAGTCTAACTCAAAAACGAAAAGTTGTACAGAAATGAAATTGCATATTCAAGTTTTTATATGCTATGGATGTTAAACCAAATTTTTCGTCAAAATCGGCTAACCGGAAGTGGCACTTCATATAATTGACTAAACACATTTTTACGATTATCTCGAAAACTGCTCTAACGGTTTTGATTAAATTCATTAATTTGTGTAAAATTAAGCACTTTTTAATATAATGTAGATTTTATTCTCATTGATGTTCTCTAACATGGCTTAAATGGCTAATTTTCAATATTGGATTCTCCTAAAGTTCCTTTAATTTTTTTTATTTGAAACAATTAACCATTTCACATTGATCTTAAATATAAAAAAATAGTTAAACATAAAATATAAAAGAATTTGATAATTATCTAAAGGAGAAATAAGAGATCGTAACTGAGAATAGTTGTAATGGAGGAACCAAAGGAATATAGGCGAGCTCCATTCCTAATCCTTTGATTATTAGATCATGCTCTTCCATTGGTAACATTAACTTAATATAATATGGACACTGACAACTTAAACAAATAAAAATATTCACAATAAAATATAAATAAATGTAGTTTATAATTTTTACTTTCACTTCCCCTTTGTCTGAAAATACTTATTTCTGCTAAGAAGAGCATGATAAGTGAAAGTTGTGTGATGCCCGCACTGCATCAGATTTTTATTGTTACCTCTTTTTCAATCATTTTTTTTTTCATTTCCTTCAAATTTTTTTTTTTCAATTTTTATATTCAAAGTCCACTTGTCTGCTCTGGCCTGAATTAAAAATATAAATATGACAAGCAAATATTATGTAAATAGGTAGTAATTTGGTTCAAGAAGTGTGGAGCAGCTTAGTATGCGGATTCGCTACCTATGCTAATTATAAGTGGGTACCATGTTTTAATGTTATGAAATATAAACCTGCAAATCTTTAAAATTTAAAGTATCGTTACATACTTACATAGAACAAGTTCATTTTAATTTTTTAGAAACAAAAAATAAAACCTTAATAAATAAAATAAAACTTTGTTCAACATTAATTATCATGGTACTATCCAGTATGCCTATGATAATTAAGTTTCGTGTCATGAACTGTAATTTAATTTTGTTTTTATAATATAGTTTAATTATTTTAAACTATTAAAATTTTTAATTTTAATTTTGTTATAGATTAACAGAAATGAATATACTTCAGCTCGTGTAAGAAAAAAAATACCTAATTATATGCATCTAATATACACTTTTTTTCATCTTTCTGAAAATATTTTTATAACATTCGGAGAGTAATTAGATGATAAATCTAGTATTTTAATCTTAAATCAGATTTGAGATATTTTTGCTTAACCTAAGCATGTTAAAATTAACCTTTATCTTTTTGTTTAATTTCAGATCGAAGAGCAAGTTGACATTTTATGCTTTTTAATGAATTCAATGGGATTGAACTTTCGTGAATAAAAGTTTTGATGATATGAGATAAACTTCTATACTGCTGGTGGTTTTATGAAATCATGCTAAGCAAACAAAAAAAAAAATTAAAAATATAGAATGCTGTCCAACGACATAATGGTTGTTACCATTATCTTCATGAGATGGGTTCAAATTCAAACAAAGCCTGTTAAATTGTTGTGGTGTTGATACTGGGTCACCCCCAGTAGATTTTCCACTTTTCTTAATGCGGGTTTTACAAGGTGTAATATTTATTTATAGTACTTGTGTGTACCATTGCCATATTCCTTTTTAGTATTATTATTTTATTTGTACAGTACATCAGTTACTTAATTATTCATTGTCTTACCTCCACTTTTAAATTATAATTAATTTTCATTAAATGTGTATTTTCCTAATTAACCTTATGTCCAAAGTAACTTGTATAGTACTATAAGGTGAGTTTTTCTCGAGTTGTGATTATGATATTTTAAAAAGAAATTTCCTTTGAATTCAAATTTAATAATTACTATTAATTTTTAACAATTTCATATTATTTTTTTATTTAACTTGTTACTTGTATTTATATCTTTCTTCTTACAAGTCAGAAACTGACATTCTTTAGATTAGGTTAGATAATTCATCGAAAACAGTTTTTCTATAACATATTATGTAAGTATTTGATTTCCTTTTACTGTAAGAATACAATTGTTCAAATTTTGAGAGTTGATTGCGGATACGATTTTGCACCAGCTGAGCAACATGTGGTTCTAGAATCTCTCTTTTGTAATTCAAAGCAGTTAAGTAGCCCTGGTCCACAAGAACCTTTTCTGTAGTAGAGTTTAAATTTATGCATCCCCAAACTGTCATTGAGCTTCCTCCAAAAGCAACCTTTGGAGAAATATACAAGTAGCTTACTTTTCCCCGCCTTCTCCACACTCTTTGGTTTCCAACTGGAGACTTTAGGCTGAATAATGCATGGCTCCAGTCTTCCCGAGTCCAGTTTAGGTGTTCCTGGCCAAACCTCAAGCACTATACTTGGTGTTCTCTGAAAAGAAGAGGTCCAGTTGCTGGAGAATGAGTCGTCAATCCATAGTCGATAAGTCGTCTTCTCACTGGTCCCTCTGAAATTTGCACTCTCCTGAACCATTGGAAGAGACAACGTAGACTGTTTCCTGTAGAATGGCTATCTCGAAGATCGTGCATTTATAAAAGTCTGTTCTCAAGCCAGGAAGTTGACCTTGCTCAATATTTTCTCCTTCTGGTGTACCCTTCAGTCTCACAAACCTAATAATCAGATTGTGACCGCTGAAGCCTCTGTGTAAAAAAAAACATTTTAATTCCTCTTCAGTCAATTCCCTTCAGTTTGCCATAAAAATGTCCTAAATTACTTCATAACCAAAAACTGTTATCAAAAAAATGGTTTAAGCATGTTAAAATGTGTTTACATATTCAAGACTAATATAGAACTGTGAGCAAAAGTGCAAAATATGCTTAAGTTATCTTTTTGGTTCTAAGGAGTGATTAATGTTTACAGTTTGATGATATAATTGATAAAAGATTACACTAATTCCATTTTGGTTCCAGAGATATATTTATTGGCATTATCAACAAATTATACTGAAATTTTTAGGATACCCTTTAATTTTGTCCTGCAGTGTATTATGTTTAAGGATATCATGACATTGAAATGCCTTTCAAAATAAACAAACTTATGTCAATCCAATCTTTTTGATCTATAGTTCAGCATAATCCTATTTAAAAGAAATAAATTATTTTATTATTGACCTGTTACCTCCTTTTTTTATTTTTCGCTGTTATATTCTATCAACCTCTGAGAAAATTAAAGAAAGAAAAAAAAAAGTTAATTTTATCTCCAAAGAATAATAAAAGTGACATTTGTCTGGCATAAGTAGAAAATCAAGAAATAAATAAAAAGAAATAACCCTAAAATTATTAAAATATAATGATAAGACACAAGTAAACATAATAAATTGTAAATAAATATAAATGAGTGTGTTCACATGTTTGTGCTGTTTAGAAATATAGATAATATATAAGTATCTTAAGATAACAGTAAAATGAAAGTGGCAGCCTATTGCCTAAGCATCTCAGTTGGATGGATCAAAAGTAATACCTAGGTTTTTAATGGTAGTACGGAATAATATAGATGGGTTGTTCAGGAGAAGATTGGGGGATAACAGGAAGCATTTGAGGAGTGAGGGGGATCTGATCAAGATGGCTTTCCTCTTTTTCTGGCTCTCTTGGTGTCCAGAGTGAGCCTGTTGAGGTTTGCCCAAGAACTTATTCTATTAATATCTTCTTGGAGTTTTAGAATGGCATCTGAGAAATCGGTCGGATTAAAGGAGAGGTAAATTTGAATGTTGTAGGCATACAGGTGGTATTGACAGTGCAGGATAGAGGATGGGAGGTCATTTATATAGATGGAGAAAAGGGTAGGTGATAAGGAAGAGCCTTGTGGGACACCTCTGGACAGAGTTAGAGTTCTAATGGAGAGCTTTTAGGAATTACAACATAATGGGAGTGGTGAGAGACATGGGAATATCTCTGGGCACCAATTACAAATCATACTCAGTAAGATTAGTAATCTCAATAAGATTATTGAACTAGTTTTTTCAGTCAATCACAAAGCTCCACCGAGAGGCCATCATATACCACTCAGCCGTAATCAAATTGGGACCTTAAAACGTGTATTTCCATTGAAAACTCACGATTCAAAATTTTTTACAATCTCAATACTATCCATTACTATATATTTCCCTCACTGCTGTGTTGCTGTAATTTCGGGTCTCCGATGTCTCAATAAAATTCAATATTTATTTTGAATAGTTTTTTTTTTTAGCGGTGATGGCCTAATATATGAGATCACAGAATCAGATGACATTAACAAATTATGATAGATGTCTTTGTTTGTATGAATTCTTGACATTTTTCTCTAAAAGTCCTGTCGATACTTTTTAAATTCTTGATGATTTTTTTGGACTTCCGCAGAAATCTGGTTAATAGTAGTAAGAATTTGTTAGCGATATCTATTGAATTCAATGACTATATAAAGAATCTAGTAGGACTCGACTCAGTTTGTCAAACAGGAATTGATTTTTTTTTTAATTAAAAGTTATAACTTTGAAGTTGAAAAAAGATCATTTTAATTTTGATAGTGTTTTTAAATACAACTAAAAGATTAATTCACAACATATATTATTCTGGAAGCTAACCAAAACAAACTAGGAAAATGCCAAAAAAAAGTTTTATTGAATAGTTGACCGTTGCATTATTAAGGAAGGAGATGGTCCAGGGTGGCGGTCATAAATAGACTTAATAGTGGCAAAACTATTTTATTAAAAGTGAACGTTTCGACCCGATTTTGCAGCTCTTCTTTAGGGCTAGAACGGACAATATACAAAAAGATATAGAGAATTGTGGAAGTTACATAATTTTTTTTAAACTTGTTTATTGAAAAATATTTGAGACAATTTGTCTCAAAGGACATTTATAATAGTGTTCAGAGGTCACATTCACACTCTATGTACAATAAACAAAAATAAATTGTACAGAAAAATAATATATATAAAATAAATAATAAAATAACCTAAAAATAAATAAAAAAAGAACTCATACATACCTATATACTCTATTTTCAATCAGTCGAAAGAACTCCAAGCCAAACCTGTTCCTCTAACTGTGGAGGGAAAAGCATGACTTCAGGAGATAGCTGCGCTTCTTTCTAAACCACATCAAGGGCTAAACCCAGTTGAGATTGAATGAGTGCTTTAGCCACATACACTCATGTCCTAGGTTTTTTTTTCCTATGCCAAAGTCCTGGATCATTCGCCCATCCAACATCCTGCTGGCCAGTATAATTTAGATTTTTTAATATATATATATATATATTTAAATAAAAGAGAGATTATACAAAGCGGAAATATTTAAAATAATTAACGATTAAATTGAAAATAAATAAAAGTAATAAATAACTTATTTTTTACTTATGAGATTTAAAATTTTCCTGTATGTTAAAGAAATGTAGTTTTTATTTACTTTATGATAAACAGCATTCTGTTTTATGTGAATTTGGATAGATTCGGAAATGAGTCTTTTTTAATGGTTAGGGACCATGGCAAGAATAGAGGTTTTTTCAAAATCAAATGAATGGTTGAGGGTTAAGGCATGCTCTGATAGTTTGGAGGCGAAGGGTTCCAGGAAGTTATGGATGCTTTTTATTGGGAAATGCGGGTTTTGAGATGGTTTTTGGTCTCGCCAATTGAGGAGCTATTACAATTATGAGTAGAGCAAGGTATCCGGTAAACTACATTAGATCGGTGTTGTAAAAGTATGGGATCCTTCAAGTTGGTGAAAAGGAAAGAAAGTTTATTATGGGACTTAAGGCCAAGACGGAAGTTGGTTATAGTCGATCAAAAAAAAGTTTGCTAATTTTTTTTATTTATAAATTATTTATTTATCTTATAATACATTATTAAATCAGTAAGAAATAAATCTTTGAAAAAGGACTATAATGAAAAATCTCTAAATATGTCGAACTCACTGCCATATCATCACGGCTGATAGAATGTCCAAAAACGCTTTTTGTAATTTCCTTGTTAAATTTTTGTCTCACGTAAGTAGTGCTCCAGGTGTCTGAAAAAATTATATGATGTCCAGAGAGTAAGGTGGATGTGGTAGAGTTTCATATCCAAGCTTCAACAGTTTTTATGACGTCACACGTGAGACATCATGCAACAAAATGGGCCAAGACTGACCAAATTTGGCTTCATTATTACCAGTTTCTGGTGCATTGTATTCATTTGGTAAATTACGACTCGGCATAGAGGATTTAAGTAAGTGTAGTTTATTAAACTAAATGAAGACCACCAAGCCATGAACGCCACCAAAGCTAACCAACACCTTTTTTTTTTTGATGAGTTGAGGGCTTGGGAAAATGTTCTGCTGCTTCTCCTTTGTTGTGCCACTGACCAGAACGTCTCTACTGTTATCCACTTTTCATCACTAGTAAACATTCTGTATAGAAAGGGGTCGTTTTTGTTTCGGCAAAGAAGTTATGCCAAAACTCCATAACGCTGTTTTTGTTAGCGGTCGTTTAATGTGTGTGGAACCCAACTTTCAAGCTTTTTTACCCTTGCAATCGCCTTGAAGTGGTCATCGACGGTCTATTTGTTAAGATTAAGTTTCCCTGCAAGTTCTCGAACAGTTTTTCTGGGATTTTCTTTCACCAAAGCCCGCAGAACATCATCATCTAGAGAGGAAGTCCTTCAACAACCTTTGTCTTCCAGGCTGAATGAAGTCTCCCTCCCGAAAATTTTTGAACAACCACTGAACAGAGCAATCATTAATGCTGCTATCGCCCCAGATTTGATTTCTGGCCGAGTTTAAACTGGTAAAACAAAATTATACGAAAATCACACGTTGACATCTTAAAGAGTGAATTATTTCTAAGCAGCGAAATGCTACAGAAGTAAACAAACATTATTGTTTGGAAGAGGATTAATAAGTGGTGACTCATATACAAATGAGTAATCCAGTAAACGTAAACAGTTTGTTATATAGAAGGGTATTTTAAAGAAAACTCAAAATCCTGCTTTATTTTCAGGGCAATAAAAAGGTTCTGAGGTTTGAATTTATTGCAAACATACCCAGAGAAGATAACACGAAATCTCTGGGTCTTTTAATAAATTACTTTTGGTTTCATTAAAATGGAAAATATTATGTAACTGATTCTTATGGAATCTTAGAAAATTGAGCTTGGTATATAGAGTGGATCAAAAAAGTATTGGCACACAACTTTTTTTCAGGTTTCATTGTAAAATAATCCGAAATTGATTTGCTAAACATATTTATTTAATAAAAGATTTTGAAAATTATATAATTGGAGTAAAAAAAAATTATTTAATTAAAAATGTAGTAAACGAAAAATCACTTCAACACTTTAAAAAAAGTATTGCTCACTTAAATTTGAGGTTTATTTTACGAACTGGATATTTATTAATATTTTGTCATTGGATATCCTGGAATTTTCGTTATAGGGACAAAACAAAATTTTGAGTTACGTATTGTCCAATTTTACCCCATTCCTCTGACAAAGTTTCTTTTAAACAATTTTTAATGATTATTATTTTTATTATTATTTATTTTATGAAATTTACAACTGTATATATAAAAAATACACCTCGCGCGGGCTCATTACCGCGTATGGGGAGCGTCCCACGGGTGGCGGATGTGGGGATGGTCGGTGGAAATTCCTTGGAAGTTCCTCCCGGCTAAGTCCGATGGACTCGCTGACCAACAATGAGAGGGGCCCTCCAGACTTGCTGGAGGGAGGGGACCTCCAGACTTGCTGGAGGTAGGGGCCCACCAGACTTGCTGGAGGGTGTGACGTAGGATTGAACGCCCTACTCACATATCTTTAGTTCACCAAACACCACAAAAAGTCATGGATCTCCCTAAGGTAAAACGCTCATTATCCGGAGGTAAACTAGTCCCCCGTTCGGGTCTCCGGGTGGGGACTGCTTTAGGGGATTCATGGTGCAAGTTGAAATATAGGGATTTAAATATTGGTACGTGGAACGTAAGGAGTTTAAACACAGCAGGGGGGCTAAAATCGGTCGCGAATGAGGTAAATGGGTACAATTTGGATGTCGTGGCTCTGCAAGAGGTTCGCTGGCCAGGGGAGGGCTCGATGAGGGAAGGAAAGTACACTATTTGGTACGGAGG